TCTCCTAGGTGGTTACCAACAGCCAGTGGCTGCCGGAGTATGTGTTGTGATGTGTGTACAGGAAAAGAACCAAAAGTAGGGATTCACTGGCCAGAAAAGCCATTTCAAATAGCTGTATGGTGTAGACCAGGCTGAATAGTGGCGGTCAATTGTTCTGCCTTGCAAGCTGTTGAATGGTGCAATCCCAGCACAAGCTGCTATGGCTTCTGCTGTAGCATCGCTATCATCGCCTCTGGCGATGGGCGCGAAAAGGTCAAAAGGTGTGTGTGTGTGTGTGTGTGTGCAGGAATGGATCTACCGGCAAGTACTGGACTGTGCTGCACCCGTTCATCCACTAGTGCCACAGCTACTGGAGGAGTTTGTCAAGACACTCATCTTGCCAATCCAGGGTGTTACCCAGCCGAGTGAAGGCGTCCACAAGGGCTTCTCGGACTCAGAAATCTTAGCAGTATTTAAAGGTGCGACTGTGATGCTAGCAAGTTAGTGCAGTGCACATGTTCACGTAGTACTGCTGCTGCTGCTGCTGCTGCTGCTGCTGCTGCTGCTGCTGCTGCTGCTGCTGCTGCTGCTACCTTGTCATTGTTCTTCCTTTTGTACGTGTTTTTCCCAGGAGACGAACTTAACAATTGTGTTGTAGCTGCGTGTGTTGCAACATCAGAAATCGAATTTCAAATTCTAGTGATGGAAAGTTAACGCTCCGGTGATTGGCTTTTGAGTCGTTTTGAGATTGGCAGGGGTGCAAGGCTGGATTTGGTTCTATGTGATGGGGTTTGCTGGTGGTTGTGGACTGCTGGCTGTGACTGCAGCAGCTCTAGTTTCTAAGGGAGTAGTGCTGTGTGCGAGGCCAGCAGCAGCTATACATGGTGAGCTAACACAGTGGGTCAGTGCCAATACTGTCCCTGCCTGCTTCTGTGCGCTAACAGATGGCAGACACGAGACGTCGGCAACTATTGGAAATCGCACGCAAGGGCAGGCCACCAGCGCTTCCGTTACAACCGACTCTTCTTCAACATCGGGTAGGCATTCCGTTGCCAACGGAGATGGGACCATGGATGCGTCGGACGGAGCAACACCTGCAACATCCTGGCATCACTCTCAAGCAGGAGGAGCAGCAGATAGTCCTATAGCTCAGCTGCTGATACTCTACTATGTCTTGATGTATCATGACTGTCTGTTGGCCAATCTGAAAAGCATCAGTAAGTTACGGCGTTGGTGCTCACACGATGCCTGTGCAAGTTTACAAGTGCTGTGTTGGTGCTCACACGATGCCTGTGCAAGTTTACAAGTGCTGTGCCCGTAGGGTTGATTCTGTTCATTCTGTGACGACTCACTATGATCTGACATGCGTGTATGGTGCTGGCGTGAATGCAGTCATGTCTCGTGTATGGTGCTGATGTGAATGCAGTCATGTCTCGTGTATGGTGCTGATGTGAATGCAGTCATGTCTTGTGTATGGTGCTGGTGTGGATGCAGTCATGTCTTATGTATGGTGCTGGTGTGGATGCAGTCATGTCGTAGTACCCTATCATCACCGCACAATCGCCAGTGTTTATTTGCTTACAAGTAATGAGTTGCAGCAGGCATGAATCATGTCCATGGTAGACCTGTCCTTTGGTTATAAAAACTGCCCCAATTTCTAACTCCCCTATCCTTTGGCTTTTCCCGCCTCTAATGTGGCGATGAAGAATTGCATGGGCCATGGGCCATGGGTCACACAATGCAAAGATGTACAGGTGCTTTCACTAGATCTACCACTATACATGTGTATACATGTGCATGAGAGACACCACACAGCTAGGGTGCTTGTTTGAGAGACTGCATGTATTGGGAGCATACCGTTTTGCTATGTTGCTATGGCAACCATTGAGTTGTGTGCTCTGTAATTCATGGTGTGTTGTTCACTGTGTGTTGCTGCTTGCTGCTGCTTGCTGCTGGTGGTGGTGTGTAGTGGCTATGCCGACAGTGTCACGCAATGCCAATCCGGTAGCGCTGTCGTCGTTCTCGCTCGTTTCCAAGATGCCCGTTAAGCGACTGCTGGTGTACGCGCGCACTTCACCGCGCAACGTTGGCAGCCTGTACTCGCGCCTGCTACGTCTTCTTCTCACTCACTTACCTCATCTATGCCTGACTCAAGATTGGCTTGCTGAGGACAGTGAACTACTTGGTCCTGCCTATCATCCTGCACACAACTCCTCGCACCCAGCAGCAGCAGACCATACTCACAAGAATAACTCATCCCTACCGGACCAGCATAACAAGAAATCGTCATCTCGCAACTTCAATGGCTGGCTTTCGTCACTGGGTCAACGTCGAGTTCGACTACCCACTCCTGAACAGCTGCGCAGTGGTAAGTCCCATAGCAACTGCAGCTATACGCTGGTGTATGACAGACATGATTGTATTGTACTACTTTTCTGCTTCTCTTTCTACTGAAGTACCTGTATGCATGATTGCGTACTAGGTATACTAGTACTAGTGTGCATACTAGGTATACTAGTGTGCATACTAGGTATACTAGTACTAGTGTGTATACTAGTACTAGTGTGTATACTAGTACTAGTGTGCATACTAGGTATACTAGTACTAGTGTGTATACTAGTACTAGTGTGCATACTAGGTATACTACAGTTGTGGCAAGTGAAATCCGACACTTGCCATAGGGGACAGCGCCACAAATGGACACCAATGATGTAATGCACTGCACCTAATTTGTAATAGAGCCGTATGCATCCCGAACAGATCGAAAGGTCACAGCGTAGATACACACAGTTCACAAATATGGTACACATAAGGAGTATTGGTATCCAATCCCCATTCATTTTTGCCAGCACCTTTTGAACCTTGACTGTGATGAGTACGAGCAAGAGTACATAACTACACACTGTGTAGTTATGTACTCTTGGTACGAGTTTTGTCATCAGACAGATAAAGTTGTATGTAACACATGTACTGTACGTATGCAGGGCTGCAGGGGCTGCAGACTGCATGGTGCAGTCCCTTATGCCAAGTGTCGGATTTCACTTGCCACAACTGTAGTACTAGTGTGCATACTAGGTACACTAGTACTAGTGTGGCTGTGCTTCAGTACATGTCCTTGTATGTGTGTAAAAGGTCAAAAAGGTGTGTGTGCGCGTGCGCACGTGTGTGTGCGTGTGCGCGTGTGTCCACTCACTGCATTGTTTTGGCAAGGACTAACATTGCTGCTGCTGCTGCTGCTGTTGTTGTTGTTGTTGCTGTTGTTGTTGCTGTTGTTGTTGCTGTTGTTGTTGCTGTTGTTGTTGCTGCACGACAGCCTACAGCACAGTTTGTCAGGATCCCGCATTGTGTACCAGCTACATGAAGTGCTTGTGTTCATTGAGAGATGCACCTCAACTCCTGCCTTACCTGGATACTATAGTGGGTGCACTGCCCAAGTTACTTGATGTGCGTACTCCACGTGTGGTCATCACCAGTACAGCTACTCTCTGGACACGACTCAGCTCTGTATCACCTGGACAGTAAGTTGCACTACAGTACACACATACCGCTATACCTCTACTGCCAACAAGAATAAGAGGAGAACAAGTGTTGTTACTCCGAGTTTCACGCACTAAGCCAACCTCTTATTCTTGTTGGAACTGGCTCTGCCTTTCGACCTTGAGCACTCTATTGGACAGGCTGGAACCTCTCTGTTTTATACCTCTAAGTATAATATGAGGGTAAGAATGTAATTTAAGGATTCTGCTCTCGTCTAGATACAGTGAAGCTTGGCTAGAATGACATTGGTTATAACGACAGTTCCGCTATAACAATGCATGCCTGCAGCCATCTTGCATTGATTTGTGTACAAAAAGGATCAGTTGCAAAGCGTTAACTGGAAATGGGTCCAAATAACGACATTCTCGTGATTGCGATGCACGTTTCTGGCCTTCACGACTGCCGTGCGCGAGCGAAAGTCCGAGGTGCATTGTACTTGTACACAGCAGATCGGGCTTGCTCTCTTTGTTGATAGGGCTTGCTCTCTTTGTTGATAGGGCTTGCTCTCTTTGTTGTGTTCAGTAAGACAAAAAGCACCATTGTGCAGAAAATCAAATTTGCCGCGTTTTGGTGTGGAAATAGACATTTTGCACATTACGTCGTTCCGTTACGTCCCAGACTTGAATGCAACCTTTGGGTGGTCAAAGTGAAGTCGAAGCGATCTTCATCTTTGTTCGAAGTTATCTTTGAAGTGTGTTCAATCTGACACCAACTGCTGCAAGCATATCTTCAATGTTGAAACTCTTGCCGGCCATAACGGAATCGTCCACTTCGAGTTGGTCCAATAACCCACTGGCCTCTGGTATGGCTTTGTAGGAAATTGATCCTTCGAAAATGTCTGATACAAATGTGACATGTTCGTTGGAAGCAATATCTATCATGTTCATGACAGTATTATGGTTTTTATTACTAGAACACGCGACTGATTGGCGTGCAAGTGAAGTAGGGGTGTTGGTATAAAACTCGGTGCAGTCAATTATTACTTGTGCTAGGATGCCAAGTCTTGAAGGAAGGAGGCATCACCTTATCCACAGCCCGGCATCACCTTATCCACAGCCCGGCAAAGAAAGCCGGATTGGCAGGTGCTTAAATTCATGTTTCATGAGGTGCGCCCATGAAACTGTCAGCCGCAACACAGTTGACTCACTCACTTGAAACCGGAAGGCCAAATCCACCTCACCAGGACTCAAACGAAGGTGCATCAATACATGCAACAGGTGGCCAGTCCCAGCTCGTACGAGTAAACTCGTAAACTTGTTAGCTACTAGCTTCATATCCAGTATGTGTGGTGACTACTAGCTGCATATCCAGTATGTGTGGTGACTACTAGCTTCATATCCAGTATGTGTGGTGACTACTAGCTGCATATCCAGTATGTGTGGTGGCTACTAGCTGCATATCCAGTATGTGTGGTGACTACTAGCTGCATATCCAGTATGTGTGGTGACTACTAGCTGCATATCCAGTATGTGTGGTGGCTACTAGCTGCATATCCAGTATGTGTGGTGGCTACTAGCTGCATATCCAGTATGTGTGGTGACTACTAGCTGCATATCCAGTATGTGTGGTGACTACTTTAAAAGTACTAGTAATTCAGTGTGTGGTGACGGGCGTGGCTTTCATTTGTAACATTGCGATTTATATTGGCTGTATTGCTTGTATAAGGTCTCTGGGTCCTGTGTGTGTGTGTGTGCCTGTGTGTGTTGTCCGTGTGTGTGTGTGTGTCTGTGTCTGTGTTGTCCGTGTGTGTGTGTGTGTGTGTGTGTGTCTGTGTGTGTGCCTGTGTGTGTTGTCCGTGTGTGTGTGTGTGTGTTGTCCGTGTGTGTGTGTGTATGTGTGTGCCTGTGTGTGTGTTGTCCGTGTGTGTGTGTGTGTTGTCCGTGTGTGTGTGTGTGTGTGTTTGTTGTCCGTGTGTGTGTGTGTGTGTTGTCCGTGTGTGTGTGTGTGCCTGTGTGTGTGTTGTCCGTGTGTGTGTGTGTGCCTGTGTGTGTTGTCCGTGTGTGTGTGTGTGCCTGTGTGTGTTGTCTGTGTGTGTGTGTGTGTGTTCAGGCTATGGGTGGGTACAGTGAATGCGTTACATCAGAACACTGCTGCACCGCTGACAGCAGGCAATATGACACCACCACTCCTAGCATCACATGCACAATACACTGAAGAGGACCTCGTTGCCAATCCTTTGTTGGTGCTCTCTTGTCGACGTGAAGTTTTCAGGTGAGTGCAAGAGTAATGCTGCTATTGTAGCTCAAGTGCAGTAAGTTGTATAGAATACTAGCCAGTACAGTCAGTGCAGTCAGTACAGTCAGTACAGTCAGTACAGTCAGTACAGTCAGTACAGTCAGTGCAGTCAGTGCAGTCAGTACAGTCAGTGCAGTCAGTGCAGTCAGTACAGTCAGTACAGTCAGTGCAGTCAGTGCAGTCAGTACAGTCAGTACAGTCAGTGCAGTCAGTACAGTCAGTGCAGTCAGTACAGTCAGTACAGTCAGTACAGTCAGTACAGTCAGTGCAGTCAGTGCAGTCAGTACAGTCAGTGCAGTCAGTGCAGTCAGTACAGTCAGTGCAGTCAGTGCAGTCAGTACAGTCAGTGCAGTCAGTACAGTCAGTACAGTCAGTGCAGTCAGTACAGTCAGTGCAGTCAGTACAGTCAGTGCAGTCAGTGCAGTCAGTACAGTCAGTACAGTCAGTACAGTCAGTACAGTCAGTGCAGTCAGTACAGTCAGTGCAGTCAGTACAGTCAGTGCAGTCAGTGCAGTCAGTACAGTCAGTGCAGTCAGTGCAGTCAGTACAGTCAGTGCAGTCAGTACAGTCAGTGCAGTCAGTGCAGTCAGTACAGACAGTGCAGTCAGTACAGTCAGTGCAGTCAGTACAGTCAGTACAGTCAGTACAGTCAGTACAGACAGTGCAGTCAGTACAGTCAGTACAGTCAGTGCAGTCAGTACAGTCAGTACAGTCAGTGCAGTCAGTACAGTCAGTACAGTCAGTACAGTCAGTGCAGTCAGTGCAGTCAGTACAGTCAGTGCAGTCAGTACAGTCAGTACAGACAGTGCAGTCAGTACAGACAGTGCAGTCAGTGCAGTCAGTACAGTCAGTGCAGTCAGTACAGTCTATGTAATCAAGCACGCTCAGGAGGTCATGATGGCTGAATCTTGCCTGAGCCTGCAGCCCAAGGGCCGTAGGCCCGAGGGCTGCAGGCAAGGGCAAGATTCAGCCATCATGACAGACAGAACGTGCTTGATTTGATTTCTTACAGCGCGAAGGAACATATTAGGGAAGGTCAAAGGTGGAAAGGTCGAAAGATCGAAAAATTATTCCCGAAATGACGTCAAACGGTCCGAACATTCCCGAAATGACGTCAAACGGTCCTGATGGCCTGATTATGCCCGCGGCGGGAAGATCGCCTATTGGCCATGGCCCCCCCCCCCCCCCCCCCCCCCCCCCCAACGATCACGTGTCATGTAAGAAAGTACAGTCAGTACAGTCAGTGCAGTCAGTACAGACAGTGCAGTCAGTGCAGTCAGTACAGTCAGTACAGTCAGTGCAGTCAGTACAGTCAGTGCAGTCAGTACAGTCAGTGCAGTCAGTGCAGTCAGTGCAGTCAGTGCAGTCAGTGCAGTCAGTACAGTCAGTACAGTCAGTACAGTCAGTGCAGTCAGTACAGTCAGTACAGTCAGTACAGTCAGTACAGTCAGTGCAGTCAGTACAGTCAGTGCAGTCAGTACAGTCAGTACAGTCAGTACAGTCAGTACAGTCAGTGCAGTCAGTACAGACAGTGCAGTCAGTGCAGTCAGTACAGTCAGTACAGTCAGTGCAGTCAGTACAGTCAGTACAGTCAGTACAGTCAGTACAGTCAGTACAGTCAGTACAGTCAGTGCAGTCAGTACAGTCAGTGCAGTCAGTGCAGTCAGTGCAGTCAGTGCAGTCAGTGCAGTCAGTACAGTCAGTGCAGTCAGTACAGTCAGTGCAGTCAGTACAGTCAGTGCAGTCAGTGCAGTCAGTACAGTCAGTGCAGTCAGTACAGACAGTGCAGTCAGTACAGTCAGTGCAGTCAGTACAGTCAGTGCAGTCAGTACAGTCAGTACAGTCAGTACAGTCAGTGCAGTCAGTACAGTCAGTACAGTCAGTGCAGTCAGTACAGTCAGTACAGTCAGTACAGTCAGTACAGTCAGTACAGTCAGTGCAGTCAGTACTGTCAGTGCAGTCAGTACAGTCAGTACAGTCAGTACAGTCAGTACAGTCAGTACAGACAGTCAGTACAGTCAGTGCAGTCAGTACAGTCAGTACAGTCAGTACAGTCAGTACAGTCAGTGCAGTCAGTGCAGTCAGTACAGTCAGTGCAGTCAGTGCAGTCAGTACAGACAGTGCAGTCAGTACAGTCAGTGCAGTCAGTGCAGTCAGTACAGTCAGTGCAGTCAGTGCAGTCAGTACAGTCAGTGCAGTCAGTGCAGTCAGTACAGTCAGTGCAGTCAGTACAGTCAGTGCAGTCAGTGCAGTCAGTACAGTCAGTACAGTCAGTACAGTCAGTGCAGTCAGTACAGACAGTGCAGTCAGTACAGTCAGTACAGTCAGTGCAGTCAGTGCAGTCAGTACAGTCAGTGCAGTCTGTGCAGTCAGTGCAGTCAGTGCAGTCAGTACAGTCAGTACAGTCAGTGCAGTCAGTACAGTCAGTGCAGTCAGTACAGTCAGTACAGTCAGTGCAGTCAGTGCAGTCAGTGCAGTCAGTACAGTCAGTACAGTCAGTACAGTCAGTACAGTCAGTGCAGTCAGTACAGTCAGTGCAGTCAGTACAGACAGTGCAGTCAGTACAGTCAGTACAGTCAGTGCAGTCAGTGCAGTCAGTACAGTCAGTACAGTCAGTGCAGTCAGTACAGTCAGTACAGTCAGTACAGTCAGTACAGTCAGTACAGTCAGTACAGTCAGTGCAGTCAGTACAGTCAGTACAGTCAGTACAGTCAGTACAGTCAGTACAGTCAGTGCAGTCAGTACAGTCTATGTAATCAAGCACGCTCAGGAGGTCATGATGGCTGAATCTTGCCCGAGCCTGCAGCCCAAGGGCCGTAGGCCCGAGGGCTGCAGGCAAGGGCAAGATTCAGCCATCATGACAGACAGAACGTGCTTGATTTGATTTCTTACAGCGCGAAGGAACATATTAGGGAAGGTCAAAGGTGGAAAGGTCGAAAGATCGAAAAATTATTCCCGAAATGACGTCAAACGGTCCGAACATTCCCGAAATGACGTCAAACGGTCCTGATGGCCTGATTATGCCCGCGGCGGGAAGATCGCCTATTGGCCATGGCCCCCCCCCCCCCCCCCCCCCCCCTGCAACGATCACGTGTCATGTAAGAAAGTACAGTCAGTACAGTCAGTGCAGTCAGTGCAGTCAGTACAGACAGTGCAGTCAGTGCAGTCAGTACAGTCAGTACAGTCAGTGCAGTCAGTACAGTCAGTGCAGTCAGTACAGTCAGTGCAGTCAGTACAGACAGTACAGTCAGTACAGTCAGTGCAGTCAGTACAGTCAGTGCAGTCAGTACAGTCAGTGCAGTCAGTACAGTCAGTGCAGTCAGTACAGTCAGTGCAGTCAGTGCAGTCAGTACAGACAGTACAGTCAGTGCAGTCAGTGCAGTCAGTACAGTCAGTGCAGTCAGTACAGTCAGTGCAGTCAGTGCAGTCAGTACAGTCAGTGCAGTCAGTACAGTCAGTGCAGTCAGTGCAGTCAGTACAGTCAGTGCAGTCAGTACAGTCAGTACAGTCAGTGCAGTCAGTACAGACAGTGCAGTCAGTACAGTCAGTGCAGTCAGTGCAGTCAGTACAGTCAGTACAGTCAGTGCAGTCTGTGCAGTCAGTGCAGTCAGTGCAGTCAGTGCAGTCAGTACAGTCAGTGCAGTCAGTACAGTCAGTACAGTCAGTGCAGTCAGTACAGTCAGTGCAGTCAGTGCAGTCAGTGCAGTCAGTACAGTCAGTACAGTCAGTGCAGTCAGTACAGTCAGTACAGTCAGTGCAGTCAGTACAGACAGTGCAGTCAGTACAGTCAGTGCAGTCAGTGCAGTCAGTACAGTCAGTACAGTCAGTGCAGTCAGTACAGTCAGTACAGTCAGTCAGTACAGTCAGTACAGTCAGTACAGTCAGTACAGTCAGTACAGTCAGTGCAGTCAGTACAGTCAGTGCAGTCAGTACAGTCAGTACAGTCAGTGCAGTCAGTACAGTCAGTACAGTCAGTACAGTCAGTGCAGTCAGTACAGTCAGTACAGACAGTGCAGTCAGTACAGTCAGTACAGTCAGTACAGTCAGTGCAGTCAGTACAGTCAGTGCAGTCAGTACAGTCAGTACTAGTCCATCGGCCAAGTCTCAAAATCGAAAGTGGTGATGCACTGAGCTTCCAACTAAACGCGACCATACCCAGCACGTAGAGAATATATCAGAGAACACTATTCCGTTTGTTGGACGTGCCGAATTCAGTCCAGGGCGTCGATACGAAGCGTTCTTCGTCGCCGAGTTTTTTACTGTGCGCTCCATTTGAGAGTGCGCAGAGTTCTGAGTTTTTTGAGCAGATTTTCAAATTTTTGAGGCTGTCAGCTGACAGCTGTCAACCCTAAATGGCACTTAGTATGTGACAGGCAATAGGTTTTGGTGCGTCCGTATGCCTTCTAATAAGTTCTATCTTCCTTCGTTTCACTTCGCTGCTTCGCCCACCACCTCAGGAGATGACAGCGTACCTGCACTAGTCAGCTCTCGCTAACCCTGTCTCTCTTTCTCCGTCTTAGCGCTCGACATTCGTGTCCTTCTGCTGGTGCGAGCTTGATACTGTTGTGTCGTAGTTTTTAGGCAATAGTGGCTGTTGTTCGCGTGACGATCAGGATTTATGGAGAAAGACGACGACTCGCCAAGTTCCCATGCAACCACAGACGGCGTAGCAATTCTTACCGCCAACCCTTCGAGCAACGGAACCGGCCTGAGTTGGAAATCGTGTCTGTGTAATTGTGCCACGATACGGATGAAACACACAGGCTCACATGTGACGAGATGAAGATAATTTCAACAGGCTGACGGAAATCCAACAGGCTCACGGGAACGCTGCAGTTATGGTCGGAGACGCGGAGTTATTTAGTCACTGGTAAATGTTGCATCGAGTGCTGTGTGCTCTAACACAATTGTAAAAATCATGAAAAAGCGAAAATAATGCAATGGTGGGGCTGAGTGGTGTTCTGTGGAGGAGACGTCGCTGTCTCAGTATTCAACGCCGGACCCTGTATTTCAAGTCTGTGGTCATGCTCGATCATAAGTTCCTGTATGGCTCCAGTGCCTTCTCAGCATTGTTGGCGGGTAAGCACCTGGATCGTCTCCAAGTACTGCTGCTCTGGTGGCTTGAGGGATGTACGGGTGCTCGCCGTGCACCCCTGCCGGCAATCTGCTAGTGAAGCTTGGTACCTACTGTGTCCGGGAGATTTTCATCCAGAAGCTGATCTTCCTAGGCTGGAGCTGCTGCTACTCCTGTGCTAGCCCTCAACCACTGGCGCTCCTACTCGGCTCCAGTATGGGCCATTAACCACCCTGCCCGATTTCGCACTGTTGCTATTCCACACCGTCAGCATTTAACTCTGAGGTCAGACCTTGATCCCTCCCACCATATGCTATCTGTCTGTCTGCCTCTCTCTCACACACAGATGTGCGCGCATACACACAAACACACATGCACACACACACACACACACACACATGCACACACAGTGACACAAACATACACATAGCCAACTTCTCTGTGTTTGGTGATCATCATCTGTTTTCTGATGTGCAAGCTCACCTCTGATGCCGATTACTTCCTTGCTTAGACCCGGTCTGCTATTAGACCAGTCTGCTCTCCCTTCACTTGCTTGTAAATCCTACTTGGAGCAGTAAGGTTGTGTCACTGCTCCTACTGATGTCATTGTTGTGAAAGCAATATCATCGCCATTGGTGGTAATTTTCCACCGTGCATGAATCACTAACAATCATCATCTATGTGTCACGGTCTAACCATCCTCGTAACTCCCCTCATCGTGACTAGTGCTGTACCGTTGAAACCTACTTTGCTTCAGTGTATGTTCGCCCCGGGCAAAGCTCTTGTTTTGTTGCATAGTGATCTGACGCAGTGTGCTATAGCCTGTCGGGTAATATGGATAAGATTAGTACAGTCGGCATCGCCTATCGAGTGACCAGGTACATGTATAAGGATACTAGTACATGTATACCGGCTTAACGATATCGGAACACAAATAGCACTATGTGTGCAATATTCCTTTCTAAGCTCACGCTGTGCGGTGCAGATAGGTCATGTGTCGTTGCCAACTTGCCGCATGAGCATGTGCAGCAGGAAGGCACCACATGTCGACTACTACTTATACTGTACAGCATTGTGTGCTTACATGCATCTACAGCCTTGTGGATGCAATTGAGTCTCACATACATGTACATGAAATATTGCTTGTAGTGCGGCATCAGGTGTTAACATACAGTGGCTAAATATTTTTCTCGCAATAATGACCGTATTCACCACAAGTGTGTTTATGTCCAGAGCCAACTCAAGTCCTGTATTATTTATGACCATGACAACAAGACTTCCGGGCTGAAATTCTTCTATGACAGGCATGAACACTTGCCTTACAATTGTTCGTGATTGTACGAAGTACATATTCGCTGTTGCATCAATTTTGCACCATTTACATTGTAGTGCCACTAGTGGTATCACCTGCATGCGTATTGAGTCAAACAAGGTTACCTCTGTATAATTATGCTTATCGTGGCTATCAAGAGCTTCGATGCAAATTCCCAGCTGACGAATGGTGTCCAGCTTGTATTCAGCTCAGCTGGCACTCACAACTCATAATAATTGCGTTCTAGACGCCAGATGAGATGTTTCAGCTACAATGTAGACACAACGTCCGTGTTCAAGAAAGCCGTCACTTCATCTTCTGCCCATCCTCAATAGCACGTTCAAGCAAATACGTCTGAAACACAGTAGCGACAATCCGACAGCGGCGACACGCCGTCTTCTCCGAATGAGCTTCTACCGTTCTAAATCAGATTCCCCCAAAAATGTCAAAATAAATAATAGATTTCCACCAAGCTCGCTAGAATCTTGCGAACCGTCAACATGCAGGCATTTCAAGTGTTCGAGCGTGCGTAGATTCTGCTCAGCGGCTCAAGAACATTCGCCAAGCGAAAAAAAGTCGATGAGAAAGATGCAATGGTGGACGAAATTACGAAAATCGGAAGAAGGTATTCGACCCAGTTCGACTATCCTGGACTGGATTGGCAACGTCCAACAACCGGATTCGTATTCTATGGGGTCTCATGAGCTAGTGTGCCAAAGGGCGTTTAGTTGGAGCTTCAGTGCATCACCTTCGCCGAAAGAGGCCCTTTCTGAGATTTGGCCGATGGACTATACAGACAGTGCAGTCAGTACAGTCAGTGCAGTCAGTACAGTCAGTGCAGTCAGTGCAGTCAGTACAGTCAGTACAGTCAGTACAGTCAGTGCAGTCAGTACAGTCAGTGCAGTCAGTGCAGTCAGTACAGACAGTGCAGTCAGTACAGTCAGTGCAGTCAGTGCAGTCAGTACAGTCAGTGCAGTCAGTACAGTCAGTGCAGTCAGTACAGACAGTGCAGTCAGTACAGTCAGTACAGTCAGTGCAGTCAGTGCAGTCAGTACAGTCAGTACAGTCAGTGCAGTCAGTGCAGTCAGTACAGTCAGTGCAGTCAGTACAGTCAGTACAGTCAGTGCAGTCAGTGCAGTCAGTACAGTCAGTGCAGTCAGTACAGACAGTGCAGTCAGTACAGTCAGCACAGTCAGTACAGTCAGTACAGTCAGTGCAGTCAGTACAGTCAGTGCAGTCAGTACAGTCAGTACAGTCAGTACAGTCAGTACAGTCAGTGCAGTCAGTACAGTCAGTGCAGTCAGTACAGACAGTCAGTACAGTCAGTACAGTCAGTACAGTCAGTACAGTCAGTGCAGTCAGTACAGTCAGTGCAGTCAGTACAGTCAGTGCAGTCAGTACAGTCAGTACAGTCAGTACAGTCAGTGCAGTCTGTGCAGTCAGTGCAGTCAGTACAGTCAGTGCAGTCAGTACAGTCAGTGCAGTCAGTGCAGTCAGTGCAGTCAGTACAGTCAGTGCAGTCAGTACAGTCAGTACAGTCAGTGCAGTCAGTACAGACAGTGCAGTCAGTGCAGTCAGTACAGTCAGTACAGTCAGTGCAGTCTGTGCAGTCAGTGCAGTCAGTACAGTCAGTGCAGTCAGTACAGTCAGTGCAGTCAGTACAGTCAGTGCAGTCAGTACAGTCAGTACAGTCAGTGCAGTCAGTACAGTCAGTGCAGTCAGTGCAGTCAGTGCAGTCAGTACAGACAGTGCAGTCAGTACAGTCAGTGCAGTCAGTGCAGTCAGTGCAGTCAGTACAGTCAGTGCAGTCAGTACAGTCAGTACAGTCAGTGCAGTCAGTACAGTCAGTACAGTCAGTACAGTCAGTGCAGTCAGTGGCAGTGCAGTCAGTACTGTCAGTGCAGTCAGTACAGTCAGTACAGTCAGTACAGTCAGTGCAGTCAGTGCAGTCAGTACAGTCAGTGCAGTCAGTACAGTCAGTACAGTCAGTACAGTCAGTGCAGTCAGTGCAGTCAGTGCAGTCAGTACAGTCAGTACAGTCAGTGCAGTCAGTACAGACAGTACAGTCAGTACAGTCAGTACAGTCAGTGCAGTCAGTACAGTCAGTGCAGTCAGTACAGACAGTGCAGTCAGTGCAGTCAGTGCAGTCAGTACAGTCAGTGCAGTCAGTACAGTCAGTACAGTCAGTGCAGTCAGTACAGTCAGTACAGTCAGTACAGTCAGTACAGTCAGTGCAGTCAGTGCAGTCAGTACAGACAGTGCAGTCAGTGCAGTCAGTACAGTCAGTACAGTCAGTACATGTAGTAGAGAGTGCTGGCAGTGCTGTGGACTGGGACATATGCATGATACACAGATGATTACTACAATAGTACAATGTAATTAGTTGTAGTACAATGTGTGATTGTCCAATGCTACCTTTCTTTTCTGTTTAGATAGTAGCTGTAGTTGTGATGATGATGTTGACTGTCTTGTGACTTGTTCTTCTGTCCTGTCGCTTCCACGGCTGCTGCTGCTGTTGCTGTGTATTGTGTGTTGTGGCTATAGATGTGCGGTGATATTTGACCTAGTCTGCAGAGTTCTCATGGCCTACCTAGCAGCTAGCCGTGCAGACCTGACTGAGCATTCTCACAGTCAACTGGTACTGGCACATCGCCGTAGTACCACCGGTGCCAACATTGCCGTCATGGAGCATGAGAGCGAGGAGATTCGCTCCGCCATGTGCTCCACCCAAGACAGTCTTGCTGTGCAGTTGCTCATTGAGGTGTGCGCTCCAAACAAGGAGGAGGTAAGTAGCATCAAGAGTACAGTCATAACCCCACCCATGCATGTGCAACTCCACTGTGGCTGCTGTCTGTAGAGTCCA